TATAGGTATCCTATCCCTAAGCTTGATGACATATAAGATGAACTTCATGGTGCATGCATATTTTCCAAAATTGATCTTAAGAGTGGTTACCACCAAATAAAGATCAATCAGGGAGATGAATGAAAAACCACTTTTAAAACCAAATTTGGACTTTATGAATGGTTAGTCATGACTTTTGGATTAACCAATGCACCAAGTACTTTCATAAGATTAATGAATCATGTCCTAAGGTATCAAATAGGAAGGTTTTTTGTTGTCTACTTTGATGACATATTAGTGTATAACAAGACTTTAGGTGAGCATCTTGGACACCTAGGACAAGTTTTGTCTATCTTGAGGGATAACCATCTCTATGCCGACTTGGAAAAATGTAATTTTTGCAAAGAAAATGTGAGTTTTCTAGGTTTCATAGTTGGGAAAGATGGTGTTCATGTTGATCCTGACAAAATAAAGGCTATCTAAGAATAGCGCACTCCAAAAAATATGCGAGAAGTAAGGAGTTTTCATGGTCTAGCTAGCTTCCATAGAAGATTTGTGAAAGACTTCTCGCACTTGCTTCACCCCTAAATGAATTAGTCAAGAAGGATATTCTTTTCATTTGGGGAGAAACCCAAGAAAAAGCCTTTGAAAAATTAAAAGAGAGACTTACCAATGCACCCATTCTATCTCTACCAAAATTTTCTCAAACGTTTGAGTTAGAATGTGATGTATCTAGAATTGGCATTGGTGTTATGTTGCTTTAAAAGGGCCATCCCATTGCTTATTTTAGTGAAAAACTTCATGGCCCTACCTTGAACTACCCCATTATGACAAGGAGCTTTATGCTTTCATTAGAGCCTTCCAAGTTTGGGAACATTACTTAGTGACTAAGGAATTCATCATACATACAGATCATAAGTCACTTATGTACATTAGATGGCAAAGGGTGAAGTTAGATGAAAAACACATAGAAGGGGGGGTTGAATATGTGTGTGTGTGAACAGAGGAATTTTAAAAATGTTTTCACAAGAGGACTCCTTTTTCGTCTAGTAAAATGGTATTAGTGAAAGCTAAACAAGAGCTGCCTAGGATTGGTGTAACAAAAATCATTTTGCGTCTGGGAGTTTCATCTTTTGCTTAGAGAAAATACTTCTTAAACAAAAAATCGTTCTTTTAGGATAAGAACAAGTATGGTTTTCGTCTGAAGATAGTTTTAATAGACGATAAGCATTAGACGAAATTTTCAATATATTGGATCAACTAAATAAAGTGTGTCTGAAACATTAAGGCATAGTGCAAGTATTTTTATACTAGTTAACTCAAACTGAGCTACGTCCAGTCTCCTTCAAATGAAGGGTTCCATTATATGTTCAATGAATTATAAGTATTATGACCACTTCTGGTTTGCCAAGTATTGTCGACCACTTCTAGCCCGTCAACTTCACCTACTGACGCTAGTATTCTTTGATCAGCCACTTCTGGCTTTCAATGAGTATTCTCGACCAACTCTTGGCCCTTAGTATTCTCAACCACTCCTGGTTGGCTAATAGCACTAGTATTCTTTGTTCAACCTCTTCAGGCTCCTAGTGAGTATTCTCGACCACTCCTGGTCCCAAGTATTATCAACCACTCCTGGTTGGCTAACTTCACTCATTAGCTCTAGTATTCTTTGTTAAGCCTCTTTAGGCTCTCAATGAGTATTCTCGACCACTCCTGGTCCCAAGTATTATCAACCACTCCTGGTTGGCTATTAGTACTAGTGTTCTTTATTCAGCAACTTCTAGCTCTCAATGAGTATTCTCGACCAACTCTTGGCCCGTCAACTTCACTCATTGACGTTATTATTCTTTAATCAGCCACTTCTGGCTCGCAGTGAGTATTATTTGACAAGCCTCTCCAGGCTTTACAAGTATTCTTCTACACTCACTAAAATGTATGATCCTAAGTTACACTTAGAACACCTTAGACTATAGAGATAATTACATCAATGTACATTTGACTCCATAAGCTCTATCTCTGGTTTCCTCACTTCATGGGCTTGATATCATTCTTCGTCTATCTTTTCTAAAAGCCAGCCTTTTCAGGTTCGAAGTTGTAACATATATATAGTCTTGTGAATTTTGCCTGTTACAAGTGTCCGTTGAAGCGGACATAGTTGTTCATGACTAGTTTGATCTTTCATTTAATGCTGAGGATCTTGCATTAAATCTTGCTTCTTGTTAATGATCATTGCGTGAAGTCTTCTTCTTTTTGCTAGTAGTAGTGTCTGAATTTTGCAGAGACATAGGAATCTTTTTGTCCTTTTCTGATCACGTGGCTGTAGAGTGTTGTCCTTATCTGAAAAGTGATGTACTTTTTCTGACACATGCATGTTTTTGCTTTTGCGTGCTTTTCTTCTTCTTCTTCTTCCTTTGATCATGCTATCATGTTGAGAGCATTCAATTAATCATAGATGGTGCCTTGATTGTCTTAGGAGACTTGATTCTTTAAGTGCTTGCGTGGCAATCTTCGTTTGCATTTGTTAGTCCAATGCATCTCAATCTGTGATTTTTTTCTGAGCATTTGAGTTTAATGCTTTGACTTTCTTTTGATCTGGTCCATCGTTACAAATGGAAAGACTTTGTTCTTTGTCTGAAATATCTTTCAGTCTGTGTTGTCCTTCGTCTTATGCGTAGTTAACTTTCTTTTGACGTTTAATCCATTTTTGTCTTGTTCTTGATTTGGTCTTGTTTTGGCCTTTCATTTGATACTTCAAGACTTTGATTAGTAGTACGCTTCTTCTTATGTTGGCTGTCTTTTCATCTGACTTGATGTTTTTCTTCCTTTCTCTTGGCACATGCACATTCTCTATTCCTTTGACTTTCCTGTACTTATATTTTTCTGAAACACTAACACGCTTGTTAGAACTAACAACATGTATTATATTTGTCTCATTCAAAACCTTGCTGAGAATTGCTTTGTCTGACTCAACAAAGGGAATTAAATAAGTGACATGCTAAGTGGGTTGAATATATTGAACAATCCCCTTATGTTATCAAGTATAAAAATAGGAAGAGTAATATGGTGGTTGATGTCTTGTCTAGGAGACATTCTTTACTCTATACCTTAAGTGCTCAAATTCTTGGATTTGATAACTTAAAGAAATTGTATGAGCATGATCATGACTTTTAAACCACCTATGCTCAATGTCTCCAAAAGCCTTTTGATTTATTCTACCTTAGTGAGGGATATCTCTTTAAAATGGGCAAACTTTGCATCCCTCAAAGATTTATTAGAAAGTTTTTGGTTAGAGGGATATCCCTCTAAAATCACGGAGAAAAGCATTGTTGCTACTACACTATGCTGACATTATTTCTATAAGCTCTATTTGGTATAAAAAGTTGATAAGAAGTCTCCTTCATCAAATAAGATGTAGCATTTTATGAAATGCATTTAATGTTTGCATTAAATGTGTCAAAAAATTACCTACTATCACAATGAAAGATGATGAAGACAAATGAAGCAAACTTGTGAGTCAGACTCAAAGTGTTGCAATGATCATCTTTTCCAAGCTACTATATAAAAAGATTCAAAGCTCAAGAAAGAAAAAGAAGAAATAAGATACAAAAAAGACTTGTACAAAAAGGCATACAAAGAAAAACTCTCTGTAAATCTTACTTATTCTTTCTTGTAAAAACTTACTGATTTATATTGGTTATATAACGTCTAAGTGAGATGAACACAACATTTTTGTAACCTTTATAACCATTGATATAAGATTGAGCTTGTAAAGGTTTGTCTGTAAAACAATACTTGTTTGAGCTTAGAGAGGCTTGGTTGAAAAGAATATTTGGTTGTTAAGCCCGAAGAGGCTTGTTGTTGAAAGAACACTTGGGTGGTTATTTGAAGAGGCAAGTCAAAGAATACTTAGAGTTGAGTTAGAAGTGGCATGTTGAAAGAATACTTATATCTTTGTCGAAAGATGATAAAACTCAATCTAGTTGGATTGAGAACTGGACATAGTTTTGGTGGTTGAGACGAACCAATGTAAAAATACCCAATATTCCATATGACTACTCTTTGCACTCCATTTGACTAACGTTACTACTTCATTGCAACAAATAGGTGTTTTAATACTCATTATTCAACCTCCTTCTAATATTTATCTTTTCTCCACAAATGACTAAGCTAATAATTGACCTTTTATTCTAACTCCAAGCAAGCAATACATGTGACCAGCAACACCCGCTACTGGCTTCTAGATATTAGGTCCCTTCATGTAATTGGATTGCCTTCAGATTAGCCATTATATGTTGCAAAGCTTCGTGGGCCTGTTTAGTTCTTGCTCTTGTCATGGACCCTCCTATGCCTTGTATTGGGTCTTGGACTTTCTTTTGGGCTTGGGCCTGATCTTTGATGTCCTCATCAAAGAGCGTGGAGGCTTTGTTGTTTAAAGAATGCTTGAGTAACTTGTTTGAAGAGACAAATCAAAGAATACTTTAGTTGACTCAGAACTGATTTTTAAAATAATATTTGTATCTTTTCAAAAAGATAGTAAAACTTTAACAAATTTATCAAGAACTAGATGCATTTCAGTGGTCGAGATGAACCGACATAAAAATACCTTATGTTATTTGATTTGGTTTCGTATGCACTCTTTTAAAGTTTACATTACTATTTCATTATTTCAAGAAAATATTGAGTTTTCTATAAATATTGAGTTTAGATAAAAATCAATATAAAAGCTTTCATTGCTTATCTTCGAAAATAAATTGACTTAATAAAAAGACCAAAGGTATAACTATAACGTGTTTTCAATCTTTCTTTTTTCTCTAAATTTTTTTTCTCCTTATTTTTTCGTAAGCCAAACAATGCTTTGGCTTTTGGAGATGCTCCTATTAAAAACTAACTATTCATTAATCGAGCATCCACTATCATCCACCGTCCCAAAAACCTTGGGACGCACGTGGTTAATATATTCCCTTTAGCCTGCTATTGAACACCAATGCGCGCACTTTAGAACACGGCACCTACCTTGGCTCTTTTCCTCGCTCATGGAGCGCCCTCGCTAACATGCGCCTCTTTTAATTTTTTTTAGGTAACAGAAAATTGGAAATTCAGAGCTGGCAAAGGGTGCGGAGAGAGAAAAGGTGAGACAAAGGGAGAGAGGAAAAGTCTGCCTTTTCTTTTTGGATTGGGGTTGCAACTTGCAAGTGTTGAAGACTTGAAGCATCTTGTCGGGGGAGGTTCTGATTCAGAGCTTTTATCTTTTATTTATTTATTTTTTTTATTCAAGAAAAATGATATTAATTATTTTGTGCGTGCAGACTTGTAATTAAAATATTAATTTTTCTAATTTAGATGAGCGTGGTGTGTGACTGTGTGTACATAATACGTACAATATTCATACACATGTGTACTGTTCCTTTGTAACACATCGCAAAGCCTATCATCTTGAGAGAACCAAGTTGTGGCAGTTCTCAGCAGCTGCTGCAATGGGTAGGTGATATATTTGTATTTTTCTTATTAAATTTTATTATTTTTATTAGTTTTAGCTTGTGCCTTCTATGTTTCGTTTTGGATCAGTTTTTTCTGGGTGAATTAACAGCCAAATCCTCTGTTTTTTCTCTTCCTTTTCTATGATTTGGTTTGTGTGTGTTTCATAGCTTAATGAGGGCTTTTGCTCCCAGTTTCCCATCTTGCTTGAATTTAATTTTTATTTTTTATTTTTCTATGTTGATGAGTTATTTCTTTGGTCTAATGGTTCTTGTGAACTTTTCTTTTGAGTCTTCATTGGTATTCTCCTTTGGTGGGTTGTTGTTGCGTTTCTAATTTCTTTCTGTTCACTATCTTTTTCCTTATCTTTCCAATTCCACGTTCTCTATTCTGATTGGTTTGTGATCAATTTTCGCGTAGCTTTCATTTCAGGGGTCAACATGAACTTCTCACGCAACATGGACGATGAATATGAGAAACTCTTCAGAAGAATGAACCCACCCAGGTACGGTAACTATTTGATGAAACGAAAACTTTCTTACCTTAAATTGTTACTTCTTCTTATCCTGGTCTACTTGTTGTCTTGTCTTGTCAGAGTTGTAATTGATAATGAATCATGCAAGAATGCCACTGTTATACGGGTATGGCTATGTTCTGTGTTCTTTTTGATTGCTTCCTTTTCTCGATACACAGTTTTCCTTGTATTGATGACTCTTGTTTATGGGGCAATGGAATTGTGTTTTTACCCTGCAGGTCGATAGTGCAAACAAGCATGGCATACTCCTTGAAGTTGTACAAATTCTCACTGATCTAAACCTCATAATAACAAAAGCTTACATATCCTCAGATGGGGGATGGTTCATGGATGGTAACAATGTTTTCTTTGCATTACTTTCAGTGATACTATCTATATTGTGTGTGTGCGCATGGTGCATATATGTATAATAAAATCATAGTCTGCGAAAAACCAATGGTTGACGTTTTTATTATGTTTTGCCAGTTTTTAATGTCACTGACCATGATGGGAAGAAGGTTACAGATGAAGCTATTCTGAAGTACATTCGAAAGGTTAGTCTCATTTGCTGTTCTTTAACATTTCAGTTTTTTCCTTTATTTTCTGTTGTATGTATAAACTAATTGCCTTGGAGGGTTACTGCAACTTATTGTGGTCAGTCTCTTGGCCCGGAATCTTGCTCTACGTCTTCCATAAGATCTGTTGGGGTCAAACAAACGATGGAGCACACCGCAATAGAGCTATTGGGAAGTGATAGGCCAGGGTTGCTTTCAGAAGTGAGTGCTGTTCTAACCAATCTCAAGTGCAACATAGTGAATGCAGAGGTGTGGACTCACAATACCCGGGCAGCAGCTGTGATGCATGTAACTGATGAAAAAACGGGTTCTGCTATCACTGATCCACAGAGACTCTCTGTAATTAAGGAGCTATTATGCAATGTGCTGGCTGGTGGCAACAGAGTCAGGGGAGCTAGCAGTGTAGTCACTGAGGAAGTGACTCATACCGAGAGAAGACTTCACCAGATGATGTTTGCTGATAGGGATTATGAGCGAGTTGATGATGATGACTATGTTGATGAGAAAAGTAGACCAAAAGTGACTGTTGTTAATTTGTCCGATAATGATTACTCTGTAGTTACTATCCAATGTAAGGATAGGGCCAAACTTCTCTTCGACATAGTTTTCACTTTGACGGACATGCAATATGTGGTTTTCCATGCAAGTATTGATTCTGAAGGGCCAAATGCATATCAGGTATATTTGTGTCTCTTGATAGATACTTGGACGCATCACATATATTCCTTTTGTTGTCATGTGTTGGTGACATTATGGTCTTCTAAAGAAATGAGGTAAATATTCTGTGAATTTATATGTAGGAATATTACATCAAGCACATAGACGGATCCCCTGTAAAATCAGATGCAGAGAGACACAGAGTGATACAATGTCTTGAAGCTGCTATTAAGAGAAGAGTATCTGAGGTGAAGACTTAATAATTACTGAATTAATTATTTTGTGCTTCTGTTTTGCTCAGTAACTTACCTTTGAAACTCATTCTTTCAGTTCATGTGTTTATATGTATATTATTAAGAACATTATTTTTCCATCAACTGTGTTTTTTGTTTATTCTTCATTAAAATTTTGTGGAGCTTGACCTTGATCCCATTTGTTTATATTTTCTCACGCAACTAATCTTTCTACCCATGATAGTGTTCCACAATTATGTTGAATCGCACAGCAACAGTCATGCATGCACTACTGTTATGAAGTAATATGATTTTCTGGTTGAAGACTTCACCATATTAGTTGAAATCTATAAACATTTTAATTGGTAACCCATATTTTTGATGACTTCACAATACATAATGTAAAATTTTTTTAACCAATTGTTTCCTTTTATTTAATTGAAATTATTGTCATTTGCTGTATGACTTTGCTAATTTTATATTCTAGTCTAGAAAGTCCACTATCCTTTATTATACAAATGTGAGTCACACATTTTTGGCATGCTTATCTTTACGCTTTCCTTTTGGTTAGTTTCATTTAGTAAGCAAGACTACTAATTTGTTTCTTCCTTATTTAGGGTTTGAAGCTAGAACTATGTGCAACAGACAGAGTTGGACTGCTATCAGATGTGACACGAATTATCCGAGAGAACAGCCTAACGGTTACAAGGGCGGAGGTGACGACCAAAGGTGGCAAAGCTGTCAATACTTTCTATGTTGGAGGGGCTTCAGGTTGCCTTGTCGAGTCCAAGACCATAGAATCCATTCGCCAAGCGATTGGCAACACTATACTTAAAGTAAAGGGAAAGCCGGAAGAGTTAAAACCTGCTCCTCAGGATTCTCCAACCAGATTCCTCTTTGGTGGTCTTTTCAAATCCAGATCCTTTGCTAACTTTGGCATGGTTAAGTCTTACTCTTGAGTCTGAATTACAACATGCTTTCCTTTGTTCGTTGTACAGGAAAAATGAAGATGCAAACCTTAGTAGACTACTGTCCAATATTCTCACCTTAAAACACGTTTGACCATAGTTTAGCAAATAAAAGCATTGAACCTTTACAGTTGCCTTGTAAATACACCCCAACGTCAGTTCTCAATCTTTATCTTCAAAGCTTTGTCACTCTCAACCCAATCTTGAGTTGGAACGATGAAAGCAAATACAACTTTAATTGTGCAACGCCATTGAATTAGTTCCAAATGTAAACATTTGTATATAAAATTTATTTCCCAAGTATGATTTAATTTTGGTTTAAAGATAATTTTAGTTCTTACAGTTTACCTCAATTTTGGTTTTATAGTCTTTATACTTAAAAAAAAAAATGTTTTGTCAGAATTTCATCTATGTTGTTAAGGTTTTGATCCATATAATTTCAATTAATTTAAGTTCCAGTCTTTTACACTATACCAAACAAGGATGTTGTTGGTTGAAGAAATCAAAACTTATGAAATCAAACTAGAGAAACTAAAATGTAAAATTTTAAGTATAGAAGCAAACAAGGATGTTGTTGGTTGAAGAAATCAAAACCTAATGAAATAAAACTAGAGAAACTAAAGTGTAAAATTTCCAATTAGAAGCACCGCTTAGTTCTTAGTTGTTAGTTATGTGATATTGCGTAAATCATTTCTAAAGACAAAAACAAAAAAACTTTCAATTTTAATATTTTGCATTCATTGTCTAATTTCTTATTTCCTTTGAAAATCCGATTATCCAATTTTTTAGTCATACTTACTGAATTTTCTTATGCAAACATTATCTTCATTTCAAGCCATAAATATAACTTGTTCTTTCTTTTGAAAACTCAATCATCCAATTTCTTTAGAGTCTATTTGAATGAAAGTTAGAAGCACTTTTAATAGTTTTTTTTCAAACTGAAAATAAAGAGTATTTTTCGATGGAGAAATTCTTAAAAATGCTTTTAAGCTTGTATTCAAATAGGTTTTTAGTCATATTTTTTTTTAAAAAAAAAAAATTGTGAACATTATCCCTATTTCAAGCCATAAATTTGAGAGCTAAAGCTAGAGATGTCATCTAATAGTCAAATGGTGAATGCACTACATTCTTTGAGACTATACATCTTATTTATAGATGAAAAGTTGGATTGTGATAAAGTAAGATAAATACTTTATCAAGATGAAAGTTTCTTTCTTGGAAGCTCATCTTTAAAATTAGAATGATAATATTTTAATATGGGAGTTCATGCAGATAGAAGCTCCCCTTAGTCAAGAATCAACAACTTGGACTAAAAGCAAATTCACAATCATTGGACCTAAGTATAGGTTGATGTGATATAGGAGTCACAATTTCTTTTTGCACCTATCGTTTATACCACATGCACTGATGTGAACCTTCTAGGACTCGAACTCGAACATATCAAAACATGAATTTTTTGGATGATTCTTATAAGAAAATAAAGAAATTAAAAGGGAAAAATATGGATTGAGATAAAAAAAATGGAAGAATAACGTCACAATTCCTAAAAATTGATAAGTTGAGGAATATTCGTCACTTTGATTTATGATGGAATCTACCAAAGACTGCACTTAGAAGAATTTGAGGAATAAAGAAGATGGATTGATTTGTATGATACGGCCCATGAAGATATTATTCAGTGTTATTTTCTAAATCTTGATAAAGACGTAAACCTAATTCGAAGATAACATAACAAGTTCAAATGCACATGATCAAGAAGAAACATTGATGGGCTAAAGTTTAATTAGTTTGGAGATAAATAGTTGTTTAAACCCATTTTGTTAATTATTAATGTAATTTTTATATATTTCATTTTATTTAAATAATTCAAATATCTTTATTTATATTTTTTTTAGGTCATTTTTAGTCTTTTTAGGCTTCCTATATCATAGTGATAGTTAGTGGGATAGTGAGAGTCAATTCTAGTGGAAAAGTATTAGTGAAAATTTATCTCTAAGTGGAGTCTTAGTGGGACTTTATTTCTAAGTGGAGTCTTAGTGAGAATTTATGTCTTGTTACCCATCTAAACTTATAAATAGGAACCTTTTGTAAATATTTTAGGAGAAAATGAATTAATCAGAATTTGGATATTGTTCCAATTGAGAGGATTTTTCTCTCCCTAGGTTCTTATGAACTACTTTCGATTCTTATACTTGAATTTCCTAATTCAAAGTGGCGAATCCTCCTCAACTTATCAAGTTACAAGTTCAAATGCACATGATTAAGAAGAAACATTGATGGGCTAGAGCTTAATTAGTTCTTGGGCAAAATAGTTGTTTAAGCCCATTTTGTTAATTACTAATGTAATTTTCATATTTCTTTTTATTTAAATAATTCAAATATCTTATATATATATATATATATATATATATATATATATATATATATTAGGTTAGTTTTAGTCTTTTTAGGCTTCCTATATCATAATGATAGTTAGTTGGATAGCGGGAGTCAATTCTAGTGGAAATTAAGTATTAGTAAAAACTTATCTCTAAGTAGAGTCTTAGTGGGAGTTTATTTCTAACTAGAGTTTTAGTGATAATTTATGTCTTTTTGTCCAACTAAGCTGATAAATAGGAACCTTTTGTAAATATTTCAAGAGAGAATGAATTAATTAGAATTTGGATATTGTTCCAATTAAGAGGATTTTTCTCTCCTTAGGTTCTTATGAACTACTTTTAATTTTTATCCTTGAATTTTGTAATTCAAATTGGCGAATCTTTCTCAACTTATCAATCTTTAGGAATTGTGGTGCTATTCTTCCATTTCTTACCTCAATCCATATTTTTTCTTGTTAATTTCTTTATTTTCTTATAAAAATTGTCCAAAGAAATCATGCTTTGAGATGCTGAAATTTTGATCCTATGGGGTTTCACATCAATTTAGAAAATTCAAGGATAGGGATCAAAAGTAGTTCCAAAGAAAAGAACCTAGAGAGATAAAAATCCTCTCAATAGGTAAAATATCTAAATTGTTGAAATCTTACAAAAGATTCCTATTTATAAGCTTAGATGGACAACAAGACATGAATTCCCTCATAGACTCCAAATAGAAATAAATTCACACTAACACTTAATTTACACTATAATTGACTCTCCACTATCCCACTAACTATCATTATGATTTAGGAAGCCTAAAAGCACTAAAAACTGACCTAACAATATAAAAGACATCTAAATTATTTGAATAAAAAGAAATATGAAAATTACATTAATAATTAAAAAAATGGGCATAAGCACCTATTCAACCGAAAAATGAATTAAATTCTAGCCCATCAATGCTTCTTCTTGATCACTTGCATTTAGACTTGTCATGTTATCCTCAAATTGGGCTCAAGTCTTCATTAAATTTTAGAAAATAATACTAGATGATATCTCCGTGGGCCTTATAATGCAAATCAATCCATATTCTTTATTCCTCAAATTCTTCCAAGTGCAACCTTTGGTAGATTCCATCATGTACCCAATATTTTCTTAAAATGTCTAAATTATCCTTAAAATGTCTAAATTATCCTTAAAATTTTATATACAAGATTGGATTAGGACAACCCAATGTATAACCTGAACACATTCTCAAAATATATTACGTCTAACTATTTAAATCTGAGTCTATCAAGAGTCTGTTCGGGCCAAGCTGAATTGAGTTATTTTATGTATGAATTGTTTTAGTATGATTATTTTATTTGATATTTATTGAATTGAAATTAAATGTATACCCTTGTAAAATTTTGGAGCCCCTAAGTCCTAAGGACTTTAATATGTAGGAAGAAGAGATAACAAATAGAAGAATTAATTGATGCAATCCAAAGCATTAGGACTTTTGGAGATGTTTAGTGGTATGATAAAGTACTATATTTTTATTATGATATAAAATATGGTTTGTAATATATTATAATTTTGAACAACTTTACTTTTATGATATAGCACTTTAATAATCAATTTATAATATGTTTTAGTTTAAACTAAAATTATTATTTATTAAAATATTGATAATTATTTTAAATAAGTGAGGAAAATGGAAGTATTAAAAGTAATCTAGAAGGGGTTACATAATACAAAGTTTTTATGTTTGCATGTGAGAGATATTTCATTGATAAGGCTTTTGTGGATAGATTCCTTATCAAATCTTCACGACCTTCCTAACAAAATATGATTGGATTTCATGGGAACTATATCATATAAAATTTTGTCTTCATAATTTCTAATAAAAATTTTGACTTTGACTTGTTGGTCCACTACCATATCTTATTATTATTATTATTATTATTATTATTATTATTATTATTATTATTATTATTTAACCATTGGATCCTATAAGGGTTTGGGTGGGGGATGGTAATTGATGGAGACTTGCTTTGGAACCAGATTCATGTTAATTCCTCTTCAAGTTTCTCCCTAGACCTTTGACTCCTTGATTCTTCTCAAGCTTTTTCAAAGCCTCCAACGGGGGAATAGCTTTGGATTTCACCGAGGTTTGGTGAAGAACACTCTTCAAGAGGCGCCATTCCTTGGAACAGAAATAAGCCGCTTCAATCCTCACCACACTCTTGCTTGAAGAGGATAAGAGAATTTGATGAATATCAAAGAGGTTAATGACTTTTAGAAGAGAGAATTTTCTGAAAAATTTTGGAATTCATTCAATATATTATCAAAAAGTGATTACAAAGGTAAGAAAAAGACTTATAGAGAGTAGGGAAACTTGTGGTGCAAGCTACGCTAACTATGGTTAGCTTAACTTGACCGACCTAGTTAGTTTAGAAGGCTTGTGGAGCAAGCTTCTAACTTAGAAGCTTGGGAAGCAAGCTAAGTTAGAAGCTTGTAGCACAAGCTTCCCAAGTGTGCAAAGCAAGCCAAGCAATTCGGCCAAGGAGAGAAGGCTAGGCGGCGAAGGCTTGTTCCAACATGTGATCCAATCTAAAAATCTTGGATTTAGTTTAGTTAGATTCACCAAATGATGGTGAGACCTAGCTAAATCAATTCTTTGGAAAATATGAAGGAAAACAAACCCAATATGTAAAATTTAGCCTAGGCCCAATCTTGGCTCAATTACTAGTTGCACCTACACACCTTACTATTTGTCACCCCACTTCTACTACTGAAAATATAAAAATGAATGACCCTTAATATAAGATCAAATGGAGCAAAAGTCTCGAAGTAACATACCCTAAAATCCTAAAGGATAACCTATAAGAAAAGAAAGAAAGTGTCTCACAAATACAAAGACAAAATACACCTATTCAAGCAACTACTATGCACAAGTCTCATCCAATGCA